CTGCCAACTGTTTTATTATCTGAGAATGGAATTCCCACCCACAGAGATTCCACAGTCCTTTCTGGTGCACTTTCGCCCCGATTGTGGCTTATGTCATCCCTCCCATCGAATTCTACCCAGTGTGTCCTTCTCTCCGGCGTGGCTCCCTTTCCCCGGTCCATATCCCCATATGGACTGCCAGACGTGCAATCTGTAAGACTCCCTTAGAACTTCCAGCAGTAACAAGCATCTAATGTTTCCCGGCATTCCGATTTGTCCACTTGCTTACTTCACCTTCTGATGCATTATTCGTTTAGGGTGGACTTTTCTGTTACTCATTTGGACTGGTGAAACCACGTAGTTTTTCATACCTCGTAAACTAAGAAATGTCCCTGGTATCAATTCAAAGGACTACTGTCAAAAGTTTTTAAAATATATTTTATACATCCATTTTTCTTGATGTTCAACTGGAAAACTCCATCTTTTCCCTCCCCCTTTGCTAGTGCCAGTATTATTGTATTTCAAGGAGAAAGCCGTCTCTCTGTAGAAATTCCAGGTTCTAGTAAAGATCCTCTCATGCCCTCGCCTGACCTAAAAATAAACAGCCACCTGTTTACACACACACACACACACACACACACACACACACACACACACGTGTGCTCTGGAGACCCTCTAGTTTTGTTTTTTATTTTTTTAATGTTTATTTATTTTTGAGAGAGAGAGAGTGTGAGAAGGGGAGGGGCAGAGAGAGGGAGAAAGAATCCAAAGCCGGTTCCAGGCTCTGAGCGCTCAGTACAAAGCCTGACGCGGGGCTTGAACCCAAGAACCGTGAGATCATGACCAGACCTGAAGCTGGACACTTAACCGACTGAGCCACCCAGGAGCTTCTAGTTCTTTAAGGCCCTCCTGTGCTAGGATGATAAACAGCTGCGAAAACCACACCTTATCTTTGTTCCAGTCTGTTGCCTGGCCAAATCTGGCTACTAAGGATCCCACACATCTGACCACCACCTCCACCCCTTTCCCAAAAGATAATCTGCCCGCCCATATTCTGTTTCCTCAATCCTTGCATTTCATGGCAAGTCACCTTCAACCTTTTGTAATGAGCACAAACTCAGCAGACACTTGCTGAAATCCCAGAGGTGAACGTCAGGCTGGGGCCGTTCAGATCCGTAGCTTGTAACTAACTGGCTGTGTGACAGTAGGCAAATCATGTCCCCTCTCCAGACTCCACTGTGACAAGTGAGGGCATCAGACACAAAGATCGTTAGGGTTCTCTGGACTCCAACAGTGGACGATCCCCTCATCCTCACCGCGAGCTGACCTCAATAAGACACCTCTCTGGAAGTGGTGAGATGAGTCCCATCCAAGGTCCCTCCTTTCTCTGCCTTCTGCGTTTTCTTCCTTCTCCCCGGGACTCTCTACTTCTCTGAGGGTGAAAGCTTCTTTGAACTTTCTCCCTGGTTCCCTGAGACCCCCCCTCGGTCTGGGAGCACATTTAGAACACCCATCTCACTCAGTGCAATAAACGGACTCGGCTCCCACTGTACTTCTGAATTTCCATCTGCATTGTTCAGAGATAATTGCCCTCTGAGAGGCGTGGGTAAACTGCTGCCAGGAAAATATTTATCTGCCCATTGGTGCTCCTGGGGAACTTTGTGGGCCAGACTTTGCTGCCCCTCCCGGCAGCGGGCTCTGCCCTCAGGCCCATGACTCATCCACAAAGCATCGGCAATCAGTTGTCACTCCCTCCCAGCTCCTTTGCCAGCTTGGAAAAAGTTTATAGCACACACCACGCCAGCTCCTTCCCTCCCTACATTCTCTGTTCGCGGGCCACCCAGAAGGAATAAACACCCTCATCCACTCACCTGCATTCCCCGAGTCTTCTTTGTGATCGTAGCCTCGTTTTTTGCAACGCTCCCTGGGAGTTCGGCAGAACGATCCAATGCCGCACTCCACCCTCTTCCAAGGAACAGGCTGGAGAAATGTCCACTCCGTAAACGCCATTTAAAATGGGAGGGTTGGAAGAAAGGGGTCAAAAACTTGTAAGTGCAGAGAACGTTCTCGGTACATTTGAATCATGACTGACTTTGGCATCTGTTCCTCTTCAGCTCATTTGCTTGTAACCTTTGGCCCCTCTACGCACCTGATTTCAGAGTGAGAAGATTACATTAAACAACAGCCTCGGAGTTGCTGTAATCACGCAGCTCCTGGGTCATGTTTACAGCCACTGCAGCTCTAAGGGCCCTGAACTGTTAGTGATGGAAGGAAGAGACATTTATGTAGAGGTTTGAAGAACCATGTACGAACATGCACAAATGGGATCAGAGGGAATCGGGCTCATTTCAAGGGAATAAATACATGTGTGAAGGAAGAGGAGCCAGTGAGTATATTTTCTTTTAGATTTTCAAAGACTTTTAAACCACTTCTATCCCAAAAGCTTAAAAAAGAAATCAGTCACCATGGGACCAAAATCCACTTTGCTCTGAATCATGGATATAGAATTGTTTAAGAGACAGAAAACAAAATAAATACATCTCAAACTGTGAGCCTTCCATATAGTAACATGTAACTGAAATTATTGAAATCGTTATAAACGACCATGGCAGAGCAAACAGTACACAATAAAAATCTCAAGATCATAGTTAGCTGGGGGCACTTGGGTGGCTCAGTTGGTTGGACGTCCTACTTCGGCCCAGGTCATGATCTCACGGTTCGTGGGTTCGAGCCCCGCATCGGGCTCTGTGCTGACAGCTAGCTCAGAGCCTGGAGCCTGCTTTGGATTCTTTGCCTCCCTCTCTCTCTGACCCTCCCCTGCTCACGCTGCCTCTTTCTCTCTCTCTCCGAAACTAAAAAGAAAGTTAAAAAAAGATCATAGTTAGCTATAAGTGAAAAGTTCATTGTGAAAATAAATTTTAAAGAACAGCCTTTATAAACTGGGTTAGTGGTAAAAGTGATAGATGGAAATTCAGTGTGGTCAAGGGCACAAAGGAAATAATTCAGCATAAATCTGCTAAACTCCAGGCATGTGACAATCCAGAAAAGGGCAATAAAGGACAATCCTTGATGCCTCTTGAAGACACTATCCATGTGCATGGTTTTATTTAAAAACAAAAACACTGCATATTCATACATGCCTCAAATGTGATTTGTCCAAATGTAATTCTGTCCAAAAAATGTTGGTAATGGTTGTTTGCACAATCTCTTATAAGAAATGGCTGTTTCTAAGATAATGATGCCAATCAGAATTAAAGAATAAGCTCTGTTGAATTCTGGAAATCTGAAGAAAGAAGAAATAAGTAGACCTGTATCCAATTCTTCAAAACCCAAAGTAAAGAAAATTTAATAATTCAACAGAGTAGAGATTACTCATGTCAAAGTTTTTGTTTGGTTTTTGTGTTTTAAACAAAAGACAGGCAGAAGCCAATTGTCTTTTAATTTCCCAGATTAGGTGAGAATAATCCAATTAAATGAATACATATTAAATACCTAAAGGCAGTTTTAGTCTTACAAATGTCAGCTTCAAAGGCATCCAGAAAGCCTTAGCAACTTCAAACAAAGAAGTAGTCATTCAACTAAGAATTATTCATGTGTGTATCATTCAGAAGTTGACATTTTACCTCTTTGGGAAAATAAGGGAGAATTTGCCTAGAAAATATAAAGATTTAATACAGCTCTCTTTGAGCCATATGTCCAGTAATCAAGTACTTGTTTGAACAAATAATTTGGATTATGTTAATTATTACAGCTATTAAGAAGAACCAGTTACTAATTTACATACAATATATACATACTAACATATCACATATTAACAAAAAGTTGGCTTTATGAAAATAGTGAAAACTTCAGTTGAACTTCTCTAAAACCATTTCTATTTTAGATTGTTCAGTTGTGTTGACTTATTTAGAATAAATGAATATTAGTCCCCTCTTACTACAGTGATATCTTTTCTAAAAATTAAGCAAGCTAATTTTTTTTAGGATGGGTAGGAAACAAAATGTGTTAACAAACGTGACACTATCGTGTTGTATCATCATTAATTGCGTAGAGGACAAAGTTTATACTATTATTCTTACCTTTCCACAAAGCTGCAATCCAAATCTACTTCTGGGTACTCCTAAAGATGAAACAGAGCAGTAGAATGTCCAGGGAAGGACTATAATGATCCACCTTAAAAGATGACTATGTGTTGGGGTGCCTGGGTGGCTCAGTTGGTTAAGCGTCCAACTCCGGCTCAGGTCATGATCTCACAGTCCGTGGGTTCGAGCCCCGCATTGGGCTCTGTGCTGACAACTCAGAGCCTGGAGCCTGTTTCAGATTCTGTGTGTGTGTCTCTCTCTGCCCCTCCCCAGCTCATGCTCTGTCTCTCTCTGTCTCAAAAATAAATAAACGTTGACAAAAAGATAACTATGTGAGGGCTCTATATGAAAAATCATATAGTGATGCTCCTCAATTGAGGAAGGCAATCTAGTAGGAGATAGAGAATACTATATTGCAGAGCGCAATAGGACTTTGAGATTACCTGGTCCAATCCTGCCTTTTACACTTAAAGAAACAGAGACATGGACAGGCTGAACCATGGCAGTGCAGTAACTGGAGATGGTCTCTTGTTTGGGTTCTAGGACTCTTCCATTATGCCATGCTACTTTTCACAAAGCGGATAAAACAGCCGGGAAGATACCTTCACCATAATTCAAGTCAAAATATAAAATCATGAATGGTCTGAGTAGGATTTCCAAAGCCACTAGAACTAACATATGGTTAACTTCTATGTTCAGTAAAAAAGGTTTAAATGGGGTTTTCATCACTCATCAATTCCTTTTAAATTCCTTGTACAACCTCTGAGGCTGTAACAAACAGAAAAGCTGCCCAAACTCTTAGAAATCATAAGGCAAGAGTTGGCATCTGCCCTGATCTAGGCACCACCTTGGTCTTTCATGGCACCTAAATCAAATGGCCTGGAATCCTCGTGGAATTCCATGTTCCAAATGCTATTCAGAGCTCAGGAGTCTGAGAAGAAAACACTCAGAGAAGTGCCAAGTTTATTAAAGTGAGAGACTGCTACCCTCACATTGCCACCAACAGACATAGATCCCAGAGATGCATGCCCTGACCTCACACCAATAATTAGGGAAAATCTCTAGAGTTGGAAGGTACCTTGAAGGTCGTTGATCCTCTCATGTGATGTGTTAATCCCCATTAAACATCCCTCTCCAGTGAACTGAGGTCAGATTCTGTTTAACTTGTAGCTACAATGGAAACTTTGGTCAGCCCTGAATCTGTACTCCGGAAACAGAATGTTTAAGTACTATACGGTAGTAGAGGTAAAGTTCCTCGGCTTAGGCCCCATTTCTCCCTTTTCTTAGGAGAAAAGTTTCTCAGAGTCCAGTGCAAAGTCCTTCAAAATCCCTCCACCAAGCCCAAAGCACAACAAAAGGTTTGGGACTAGCAACTGGTAGCTGGATTTTTGTTCTTGAGTTTTCAGAAGGTCTAGTTCTTGGTCCACAGAAGGCCTCTGTCGCAGGGTTCCAGGGCCAGCCCTTTCCGGGAACACCATGTCTTCATGCTCAGGGGGCTCCCCCCAGAGAAGAGCTAGGTCTGTTGTTCCACCAGCTGTAGTTTCGCAGTCTTGACTCGATGAGCTTCCTGCAGGTTCCGAGCACGGACCTCTGGGCTGGAAATGAACTCCACTTGTTGCACAGGGAACCAGCCTCGCTCCCCATCTGAGAGTCTCATGCCCTCCAGCCAGCCTAGAGGCACAAGATGGGTGGGAAGAAGAATTAGCCAGGACAGACTCACAATAATTCCCCCAGACTTTTCTGAACAGTAAGGCTGAAAGGACCGGAGAGGCCCTGGCATTGGGAAATCCAGCCTCCCAGTATGTTAGCCCTGCCTGCTCTAGGTCTGCAAGGTCTACAGCTGCCTACTCCTGAGCGTTCTCTACTCTCATGTGTTGAACTCCTTCCCCCAAAATATATGTTGAAGTTCTAACCCCACGTGGCTCAGAATATGACCCTGTTTGTGAATAGGGTCGTTGCAGGTGTAATAAGTAAAGTTAAGATAAGGCCATACTGAGTAAAGTGGGCCATTAATTTCATACAACTGGTATCCTTACAAAAAGAGAGAAATGTGGATGGACACACACGCACAGAAGGAAGACAGAGGTAGAGATGGGAATTATACTGCCATAAGCCAAGGAATATCTGGAGGCACCAGAACCCAGAAGAGGCAAGGAAGGATCTTCCCTGAGAGGCTTCAGATGGAGTAAGGCCCTCCCAACACTTTGACTTTGGATTTCTGGCTTCCAGAACCATGAGGGAATACACTTCTATTGCCTTAAGTCATCCTACTTTGTTATGCAGCCCTAGGAAATGAATACATCTACCTATCGTGTCCCCCCCCCCCCAAAGCCCAGCTTACTCACGGGCTCTCCCTCTTACCATCGCTGCTCTGCTGAGTCACCATCACCACGTCTGCCTTCTCTAGTGCCAACTCGTCATTCTCTCGGGGTTTGTAAGCTCGAAGGCACTGTACTTGTGGGGAGTCTTTGGAAGAGAAGAGGGTGAAAAGAGGTTAGGAAAGGCAAATGGCTGGACCAGGGGAGAAATTACAGGGGAGGGATGTGAGGACTCAGGATAAAGTCTGGGCTTGAGAAATTACAGACAAGGGAGACAGTCAGAAGAATCTTCATCCTCTACCAGGAAACAAAATGGCTGATAAGGAAATGTAAACACTGAAACTGAAATGAGTCAAAAAGTCTACTTCTCTGGGGGAAGACGAAATTGAGAAGTCCACTGTGACAATCTCCAGTGACTCATTATTACAAATACTCAGATTCTGCTAGAGACCCACCTTCCCTCTGTAACTTGCCCGGACTCTTCAGTCCTCCATGGATTCTGAACGCCGTTAACACTAATTGTCTAGGCCACACCATGTATCTCTTATCTAATTGCTTTACGTACGTGTTCTGTCTCCCCAGCTAGATTGTAAAATCTGAGGCTGTGACTCATTCTCCATTTGCTTCACAGTACCAGACAGGGCATAGGAAGAGATGCAGCCCGTGGGGCTCCAGCTACAATCTAAGTGAGGCACATCTCCTCAGCCTTGGTTTCCCCACTTGTAAACGACTGGGTTGATCAAGATGATTCCTCAGGAAATTCTGGATTTTCTGTATTTCGGTATTTTTGTGAACCAGAGGAAATGTCCATAGTTTTCAAGCTCACGGTCACAAGCCTCAGAGGTCTTCAGCCCCGTTAGCCTCCAATCTTACTCTTTCTCCTTTACCGCACTGTACCGGTTCTCTCAGAAAACAAACAGAAGGCTGATTATCTGTACTTCATTTTCTTTCCTTTTCTTTTTAATATTTACTCATTTTTGAGAGAGAGAAAGAGAAGGGGTGGGGGGGTGAGGATCCGAAGCGGACTCTGTGCTGACAGCAGTGAGCCCGATGCAGGGCTCAAAGCCTCAAACCGTGAGATCATGACCAGAGCTAAAGTTGGATGCTCAACTGACTGAGCTACCCAGGTACCCCGATCTGCACCTTACTTTCTAGAGCTTATCTCCATCTGCCATTCATAAGACCACAGTGAAGGAGGAAGAAGCATCTTGCCTTCCTTCCAGCTGGGGGGCTGAAGGCCAGCAGATGGGCCCACACAGTGAACAAGGTAATAGAACTCGGTTTACAACCTATGTTCTCCTACTTCCTTTTTTGAGGTTCTTTGTATTTGTTTGTTCTTTTGAGTCACCAGCGTTCCTTTGTGTTCGGTTCCCCTCTGGATACCAGTTAGGGAATTCTCGCTGGAGGACAACTATGGGGCTTATAGGAGACCCAGAAATCCAGTCTTCACATGAATGCAAGACACGTTCATAATGTGCATATATGTCTGTGGCTATCGGGAAGCCCGGGCTAAGGGTGGTGAGCTCAGGTCATTCTTTACAGGAGAGGGTGTGGTTAAGACAGATCTCCTGGGTTGGGGCGCCTGGGTGGCTTAGTCGGTTAAGCGTCCGACTCTCGCTTAGGTCATGATCTCGCGGTTTGTGGGTTCGAGCCCCGCGTCGGGCTCTGTGCTGACTGCCGGCTCAGAGCCTGGAGCCTATTTCAGAGTCTGTGTCTCCCTCTCTCTCTGACCCTCCCCTGCTCACGCTGTCTCTCTCTCTTTCTCTCCTAGAAATAAATAAAAATATTAAAAAAAAAAAAAAAAAAAAGATCTCCTGGGTTGCTACCCTTCTCCAACTCCTATTCCAATCCCACTATTTCTCCATTTCCCCAAGACCTTTCGGCAGGTAAAATCTAGGCAAAATAATAGCAGGATAGATTGATGAGGGCAGGTATTAAAAAAGAGCCAATTATTGCCCGAGGGAGAAGATAATCTGGGAGTGGAAGAGGTGCCATGGTGGTGAGTAGCTTTAGTTGGATCATCTCCGCTGCTTAAGCTCCAGTGGCCAGACTTCCACTCTGAAATTCTGGATAAAAGCAATAAATGGAAGGTTCTCAGAGTTACCACCCAGCCTCCTAAAGTCCTGCATCCAAAAGGGACTTCCAGCCCTGCTATTTTCCTGTCTTTTATACCCTCGCTCACCATAACACTCTAGAAGGTCCAATTCCTCTCTGGGCATGGCCAAGGCTGAGATCCATCGAAGCTTTTCACTTCTGAGAAAACAAAGCAAGGTCAGCTGCTTCAGCCCCAGCTCGGGGGTAGAGGACAAAGGCCAAGGAATGGGGTAGGGAAATGACTGTGGGAAAGACTGGTCTGGTTCGAAGCATTGTCTAGTTCAAAGACATTGAATACAAAAGTCAATGGGATTTTGCTTGGCTGGAAAGATAAGATCTTGAACTGTGTGTTAATGTGTTTTGTCACCCTTTATTTGTCTCCTTCTCTTTCCAGGCTTACCCTCTTAATAGTATATCTTCCAAGTGGGGACATAATGTCAACTGTCAATTAGACACATGAGATTTTCCATTTTGTACTAAGAAAGGTGTCCATCTTCGTTTGGATTCCCGCTATCACTCTGCAGAATTCTCAACACTCTACTGCCCACCTCCCTTCCACCAAATACTTCAGAGATGAAAATTCTTTGGTACTCATAATTAGGTCAGGGAGATATCTGTACTATATTTTTTGTTTTGGTCATGCAATATAACCCAAACTGATTTTGTAATGATCTGAAGGATTTTGCATTATCTTAGCCCCTGCTTCCAAAAACACTGGAGTAATTGACAGCTGACACTATTTCTATTCCAGGAAGATGCTTCCCCAGATACTAAACAAAGAACACGACTCTGGATCTGATTACCTGACTGTGGGAACATTTTGCATACACACCCCTCTACCTGCCCCTCTGTTCCATAAGTGAAGACGGGTATGGTTGATTCCGCCTGGACATGTCTTCCAAGAGACAAAACTGAAAAGTATCTACAACATAGGGATCCTTAGACCATTTGGCATCATGTCAAACCATTTAAAGAAGAGGCTTCTTGTATCTCTTATAACAGCAGCCACAGCCACGATCTTATAGTTTGTTCATTATTCTGGGCACTGTTGCTACATTCTATAGGTATTATTTTTTAATTCTCTCCAAAATGTGTGTGTGAATGTATTACTATTATTACTAAAAGGATGAGCAAATCACAGTTCTCGACACTATGGATTTCTGCTCAACAGAGGCCTGTGTTGGGAAGTGGGAGGGGGGAAAGCTAAAGACACCCCAGTGCTTGTCTTATTCACAGATTATGTCCACCAGCCTTGGGCACTGAAGACTTTCTGGCTTATACACATGGGCTCGTGGACGTCAGTAATTCAATTCTTTAGTTACTCCATACCAGCCCATCTCTTCTCTGTTGTCTCGCTCACTTTGTCCTTCTTGGAGGAAGAACACAAAATAGATGCTAAACCTTGGTGGCAAGTCTGTGCCCCTTCCCGCCCCATCTCTTGCAAGTTGTTGATTAGCTCAAAGAGTTCGGACTTGGATTTCTCCTTGGATGCTCCCTGGTCCGGAGCGGGCTACATAGTGCGATGGCTGTATTCTGGACCCAGTTTCCGTCTCCGCCCCACTTTCTCCCCAGGCTGCCCTCCCTCCTTCCCTCCCTCCCTCCCCCAGCTCCTCTGCCCAGCCCCATCTCACTGGGTCTCTGTGCTGAAGAGGAACTCAGCCTGGGTGCCCTGTGCGTTGTGCAGCAGAAAGAGCCGGAAGAGGTTTTTGTGGGGTCCGTGTAGCTTCATTTCACACTTTTCCCCTCGGATGGAGGAGAAGGGAGCATGGTCAAATACCAGGAATCGGCTACCCCTGCAAAACATGAGCCTTTTCAGCCTGCTTCTGCAGTTGCTACACTTCACCCACCCTCCTGTCTTTGGATTTAAAATCCCTGTCCTTTGCAGCTCACAAATCCTCACGAAAACCATGGGACGGGGCTACCTGGCTCCCAGGATGGTAGCTCCGGAGTCCCCCGGGATCTGTCACCGATTTGGGAAACCACACGTCTAGTACAATGAATACTTCCCCACTTTAAAGAGTTGAAGAGACAGAATCAATATAAATTTTCTAAAGCCCTTAGGACCAAAAGTTAGGATCTGGAATTGGCTAAGAGCCACTAGACCAGTAGGCTGAGTCTAGCCCAAACAAATAAATGAATTCGAGAATGCGTGGAGCTTGTTTGCTACCTTTTGCGCTGTGTCTGTAACACAGGACAGGCCCTGCCATGTGACCTTGTGATGTAATTTGGTGGGATCCCCTTTTTTTTTTTGCTTTGGATCTTTCTTTCTCTTCCGTAGTCCATGACCTGCACTCCATGGGCTGAGCAATTGAGAAGGGCTCCCCCAGGAACATGACCCTTTTCTGTCCCTTTCAGGACCACCCTCTTGGCCGCCCCTCTTCCCTCCCATTCTCATCACTGACTCTCGGGGCCGTGACAGCAACAGACAGTCATTGAAGAGATGCAGGTGGACTGGCCGCGTGTTCAGTTTCCTTCGCAGCCCTGGGGAGAGACTGAACTCGAGGGCTGTCAGCTCTCCGCTCTTCACCAGCCAGCGCGACTGCGATATGAGCGGGAATATCTACAGGGTGGGGAAGACAGAAACGGCAGCGTGTCACAGACAGGGCGAGCGAGAGGCTTCCTCGGTCCCGCCCGCCTCACCGTGCCTCTTCGTCATGGGTTCCGCCACTGACGCTCACCGCTTCCACATCATCCTTCCTGTTCGTCGCCCACCCACTTAGCCGGTTTCTCCCAGAGCCCCCAACCCACCGCTGTCCGCTGCTGTGCAGTTCCCACGTCCACGCATCAGGCAAATGGAAGGTGCCTACGAGCCAACCCAGGAGAGTGACTACACAACAAAGCTCAGCCCTAGAAGCCTGAACTGCCGGAGAATTGGAAGAGCCCAATCAAGGAATGTGCAGGAACACGGCAGGGAACGGTACGCTGTGGATTTGGAAGGTTCTGACATCTGTTCTGTCCCTGATTATAACCAGAGACATAACAGGAGCCGCTGGAGCCATGTGGAGGAATAGCGAGAAGAACTAGGTGGGGTCTGCTCGGAGGTGGAAGTGGGGTAAAAACTGGGCTGCTGGACTACAATTAATAGGTGGATAGGGGACTTTCCTCCTCTTCGAGAGGAGTAAGGATGGGATCTGTTCTAAGGTGGGATTTGAATGCGGAATGTTTATTTTACATTTGTATTTTGGTGGGAGACTTTGGCCCTATATTTGGAATCAATTTCATACTGTCTTGATAAGATTGGATGAAGACTTGATGAAACACTGGATGATTTAAGTACCAAATGTTGCCTTCATAAAGGCTTACACTGACTGGTTCTCCCTCACAGGCCCCGTTCCCGAACGCACGTCTTCCCCAAAGGCAATCCCTGTCCGACCTTTCTCATGTGCCCTTCCAGGCCGTCTCCATGTAGACACGACAAATGCGTGCACGGATCTGTATCCACAAGCAATGTGCTACAATACCCACAGTTCTGTGTCCATCCGTTTTCAATTAACAACATATCATGGAGGGGCGCCTGGGTGGCTCAGTCGGTTAAGCGTCTGACTTTGGCTCAGGTCATGATCTCACGGTTCATAGGTTCGAGCCCCGCATCAGGCTCTGTGCTGCCAGCTCAGAGCCTGGGGCCTGTTTCAGATTCTGTGTCTCCTTCTCTCTCTGTCCCTCCCCTGCTCCTGCGGTCTCTCTCTCTCTCTCTCAGAAATAAATAAACCATAAAAAAAAATTTAAAAAAAAAGAACAATCTATCATGGAGATTGAAGTAAGCGTTTGGGTGTCCCAGAAATGTGCCAGAGCAGAAGGCGCGCAGAAGTAAGGGCAGAGACTGGGATAGCGTGAGCAAGATGGTTCCACGCTAGAGGCCGACCTGTGGGGGCTTCCCAGGCAGGGTGGGGGTGCAGGGGACCAACTCACTTTGCACTCGAACTCAATCTTCTGACTCAGGTAGATGAGCTCCTCTGTCCGGCGCATTCTCTGGACATTGTTATTGCAGTCTCGGATCAGCTGAAGGGTGCGCAGGGTGAGGAAAGAGAAAGGGCACTGTGTTAGAGGCTTTGATCTGAGTCCTCTGCGAGAAATCCAGAGAGGAGGCTGTTGGTTGGGACAGCCTCCATCTTTTCTAGAAGGCTGGAACTGTGTGAAGGCGGCACCAAATGCCTCCGGTAGACTTTGTATGACGCGGCGCCACTCTCGGGTGGTGGGAATGTAAGATTGAATCTGGGGCTGATGGCAGTGAGAGCACGGCCCCTCGGTGTGGAGCGCCCTCCGGTGGAAGGGAAGCTGGGGGGACGGGGCGGGGAGTTTGGAGGTTTGGTGGGTGCAGTGAGGTGGCTGAGCGATCCCATGAGCAGAGTCCAGCGCTCTCCGGAGTCACGGGCCTGTGCAGAAGAATTCTCTGTGAAGGACGATCAGGGGGTCTGAGTGGGGCTGGTGGCTGCTTACCTCCTCCAAGGCATGATGTGCCTTCGTGGCTTCGGCTTCCTCTGAAGACCCAGGCTGTGATCTCTTCAGGATGTTCTGTAGGACAAACAGGAGGCAGGAGCCAGATGGAAAGAAGGGACGGGAAGACAGGAGGAGGGAACTGAGGGCAAGCTGATGAAGTCCAGGAGCAGAATGTTGGCGGCCAATCCACCCTGAGGGAGAGCGGTGAGGGCAGGGGGCAGAAGAAGGCTCGAGTCGTCCACGGGGTGTGGAAGGGGGCGAAACCACGACAGTCCCGTGCCTTGGGGCTCCCTGCGATGGTCTCTTTCGGGTGGAAGGGGGAGGCCCGAGGGGGGCGCGCTGTACCTGAAGCAGCAGTTTGAGACGCGTGATGCGCTGGAAGGGCAGGATCAGGAAGGACTTGAGGGAAAGGCGCTGGCAGACAGGATCGCTCTCCAGCTTCTCCAGGACCTCTCGGAAGCTGCTGTTGCTGTTCCTGTGTGGGCAGCGAGCCTCTGGTGAGGGGCACGTGGGGAGGACCGGGGACACAGTGGAGGCGCGGGGAGCGGAGGTGCAGCGGAACATCTATGGTGAGGACGCCCGATGTGATGGAGCTGGAAGGAGCTCTGGGGCCGGGATCGCAGAGCGGGCGCAGGAACGTGGGCTCTTGGGACGCTACTCGGGGTTGGGGACCCGGGGGGGGGGGTGGTTAGTGCAGCGAGGTCACTGCGGGGCTCGCGTGGGGACTGAATAGGGATCAGGCCTCACAGCAGGACTTGGAAGGTGCGCTCCTGGTAGCTCTGGTTGGTGACGTAAGGCAGGTAGACCCGGCGGAAGTTGGGGGCGTGGTTCAGGACCACATCGCACACTTGGAAGGTGAAGATGTTGTTCTCGAAGTTCTCCTCCAGGTCTGAAAGGAACCTGTGCGGTATTCACACAAGGCTCCTGAGACTCGGGGCCTCACTTTAGCAGCTGGCGGGCCCCTCCGAGACCTTGACTCTACTCCTTCTTTCTATTAGTCAGTTAACTTCTACTGGCTGTCCGTGGCTCGGTGCTCCTGAGGTGCTCCAGAGTTCTCTCCAAGGCAATCCCCAGCTTGCCCCTGGCCTAACCCTCTGCTCCTTATACCCCATTTCTGGTTCTTCTTTGGCTTCTGTTCTGGCTCTCTGACCTTTACTGTTGCCCATATCCTGACCCAGTGCATCCCCTCAACCTGGGAAGCGACTCTCATTCATCTGTTTACTCGTTCATGGATCTACCCGCCCGCACAAGTCTCCCCTTCTCTGCTCTCCCCATTCCCACAGCACTGGGAATCGCAGAGCGGGCAGGGAGAGGGTTTCTGAGAGAGAGAAAATACCCAGCTGACGGTCTACAGGCTAGAGATACTGAGGCGGAGTTGGGAGAAGAGGAGGCTCACGTGGTGCTGACGTCACGCACGTCCTGTAAACGAGAGAAGAGCCACTGGTATTCCTGGTTGGAAAGGGTGGCCCGCAGCGGGGCTGAGAGCTGGAAATGATCCACGGCTACGTGCAGGCTGCGCAGGTACGAGGCCTCTGAGACAATCAGCTCGAATTTGGCCTGGAGGGTTTGAGAGGAGATTCATTAAAAACAGTCACCGAGAGGGGCGCCCGGGTGGCTCAGTGGGATGAGCGACTGACTTCAGCTCAGGTCATGACCTCATGGTTCGCAGGTTCAAGACCCAGGTCAGGCTTGCTGCTGTCACCACAGAGCCCGCTTCGGATCCTTTGTCGCCTTTTCTTTCTGGCCCTCCCCGCACATACTCTCTCTCTCAAGAATAAATAAACATTAAAATAAAATAAGATAAAATAAAATCATACTGAGTCCCTGGTATTTGCCAGCCACTGCATAACGTTCTAGGGGCAAAGCAGGGAATGGGCAGATCTGACAGCTCACAGTCACATCAGAGCCTGACCGAGTATCAGGAGCAGAGGGACAGAGCATTTGAGGCCGAGGGAAGAATGTGTCCAAGCCCGTAAAGGTATGAAAAAGATACTTTCAAGAAGCTTAAATAAATCGAGTGACTTGGGGAACTAAGTATTTATACTAAAGTGGTGGCTGGAGCTGGAGAGGCGAATGGGGGTGTCGTCTGGGGCACTATGGAAACAAGGTAAAATGGTCTGGACTTATGACAATGGGCAGATTAAAAGAGGCTTTATGTAGGGAAATAACTTGATCCGATTTGGGTTTTGTAAAGGCTATTTCTGAGAAATATGCGGAGAAAATGTGGAGAAAACAATAGAAGGGACACAGGGCCATGTTGGGAAGCTGTCATTGGGAGACGGAGGCCTGAAGGGCCACAGGGATGGGAGAGGTAGGCCAGTTGCATAACTATTTAGGAGCGAGATTTGGAAGAACTTGGTTCTTTGCTAGAAACAGGGGCTGGAAGGGTGGACAGAGTCATGGCTAATGTCTCAGTTTGGGAGTTTGGGAACTGAATGAATGGCGGACTCACTCACTGAGCCAGAAGACTTTGAAAGAGGAACAGATTTAGGGGATGAAGGTGATTTGGGGTTTGAGGGTAAAATGGGAGCAGATTTGAGAACAAGTTGGTGCTGTTGTGGTTCAATGGAGAAGGTCCAGCGCGTGAGAACTTGTTTGGAGTTTCCAGCAGGGGGCGCAATGGCTCATGGCCGCCCTCCTCCCGCTGGGCCACCCACAGCCAACCTCTTCAACCAAGCATGCAGCTTCGAGGTAGATCCACTCACAGAAAAGGCAGAGACACACACACTTGGGTGATGACCCGCACACACAACAGCACTGAACCGGGACGGTGAACGTTCATTTGAGTCCTGGCTCCAACATGCACAGACTCTATGACCTTGAGTGGCTCATACAACCTCATGGACCCTCAGAGCTTCTTGTCTTTTTGTGTAGGTACAGTTACCCCCATGTCACAAAGATGTTGTGACAGTCACCAGAAACGGGGTTGGTGCAAGCACTTCGTAGACCCCAGAAGGGCTATTTTATGAAAGGACAGTGTGCATACAAGCATAGAGGAAAGACAGCGAAGGTTCTGGTCTCCTGTTGTTCGGTCTGTAAGTATTGGGCGGATCACTGATTTTCTACCGATTGTCTGTGTGCTTTACAAGTTGAGGTCAGTACAAGACCCCCAAACCAGAGCTTCAAAAAACCTAAACATTTATAGCTGCCTCTGTTTGACTTGTTTACATATAATCCTTCTGGCCAACATTTTACTCCTTCGCATCCCTGAGAGTGGGAGAGTATGGCCGTGATATGTATCAAGCTATGCACCAGGCATCACGCTAAACGCTGGATATGGATATTTCAACAAAACCACACAGCAGCCCTGAAAGGCAGACATCACTATCCTCAAGTTTTAGAGGAGGAAACCGAGATTTAGTGAAGTTGTAGAACTTGCAGTCACACAGCCAGTACGTGGTGAAGCCAGGATTCGAACCCAGGTTGGCCTGACTTGAAATTAAAGCACAGTAGAAAACATTTTGCGAGTGATTACTATGTACTAGGCACTTACCTTTTGTGGTTCTTCCACTGACTATTTGTGATCCAGTTTTACGAATGAGAAAACAGAGGGTTAGAAAGATCGAGTGATCTAGCCAAAGTTCAAGAGCCAGCAAGCGGAGAAGTGGGCTTCACAACCAGGTCATGTACTCCAGAACCCAAGCACATAAATGTGATTCTGTGACACCTTTCCATTGTCTTCCTGGGAAGGAAGGTTCTAACCCATGTTTCAGGTTCACTATTAAGAGAAGTTCTTCATGTAAAACCTATTAATGGTAATAAACACCAAACAGCCTTGGCACTGGGTGTAAGGACCGAGCCGAGACTGATGCTCCTTCCAAAGCCTCTGGGAGACCAGTAGACCACAGGGCAGCTACAAAGGACTCAGCAAAAAGCCACTGCAGAAGGGCCTCGGTAGAAGAGAAAGCCTTCAGTGCCATGTGGAACCCCGGTTGAAGAGGGAAATTTTAGGTCTAGCCTGAAGCAGCAGAGAGGGGATTAATTCCACATTCCTTCCAACAAATTCAGAGGCACGGTCACTTCGTATGAGCCCGAAATAACGAGAAGGAGGAAGTGGCCCGTGCCAAGTGCAATTGGGGAGGAGAGCCAGCGGGCAGGTTCAGAGCGCAATTCGGACGCATCAGGGCGGAGAGGAGTGACAGCCGTGGTGTGCACGAGCACGTGGGGAGTGTGTGGCGGGGACAGCCCATTCTTGCTGCTCGTGGTGGTGGTGGTGAGTGGGAAATGAGACACTCTGCTCTCCCTCCTGTCCGCGCACCCCTGGCCCTGACCGCGCCCTGCTGGGTACCTCTTGCAGTTTTTGGTCTTCGTGGGTCATGGAGAGCAGCACAGTGCTATTGCGAACCACAGGGATTTCCTGCCAGAGGGAGCCGCTGGAGGCCACCGACAGGCGCTGCAGGTAGGACTCGGAGGAGACCAGGGCCCTCCGGGGCTGCCGGGGGGAGGCGGGCCCGGGCGCCTCGCCCAGGCTGTCCGGCCGCTGCTGGCTCTGAATCTCCTTGTTCAGAACCACATCGCTGTACTCCTGGTAAAGCAGATGAGCTGCAGGGGTGAGGAAGCACGGCAGAGGGAGGGAAGGAGAGAGACGGGGCTGCTGAGGCCGAGAGACAGCCGGCAAACTGCTGGCCCTCCCGGCAATTCTCTGTCCCTGTACACATCCCCGCCCCACCGTGGGCAGCCGTGCGCTCGGTTCTCGGGCACAAAGCTGCGGGGTCTAGAGTTCAGTTTCAAAGTACTCACAGGAGTTGATGAGCTTCGAGCAGCGTCTTGAAAAGCCTCCCACCACCTCCTTTGGTTTCTTCTCCCTGCGGAGGCAAGAAGGGCTCTGGGGTGCTCACTGGCTACCAACGCAGAGGAGGCCCAGGTGACCGTAGCTGAGATCGTCTCCGATTTCTGGCACGTGTGCTGGGGTGTCAGGGCTGGGTCCCCTCAAGAGGCAAGCCGTAGCCTGACCCGTGTTCAGGTAGTTCGGAGCTTTTTCGGAAGCCACTTCGAACTTTTATGGGGGGTTAGTTCGTGGCTCAAGGGCCAGCTAGGAGGATGGGAGATTCGGACCCCGCTGGCAGAGCCAGGTGGATAAAAGACGCCCTTACCCTGGAATCCAGCTGCATGCCTCTTCCCCTCCCCATCCCTGGAAGACGCAGGGTCCCAGGACCCTCGCCAACGAATGGAAAGCTCAGCATCCTAAGAAAAGACAGTACCAGTCTGTCTGTGAGAAAAGAAGACTCACCGAAAAACGATGGTGTCTGTAGGGCCAGGGGACTTGTCTATGGCTGGACCTCTCGTATCTGAAAAATGAAAATGGTGACGTAACTGGGATTTCCGAGGGGCACTCAGACCGCCAAAGAAGGGAAGACCCGAAGTAGGAGATGTAGGCATCCGAGGGGATGCAAGGGCTCTGCTGGGAGAACAGTGCCCAAGTAGAAAGCATTCGAGGACACTACTGCCAGACGTGTCCTTGTCCCTGGTATCAGAAGACCAGAAGAGGGGGTCTTCTCTACTACTAGGAGGACATCAAGCAGGTGTTGGTAGCAGAAGAGCTGGGGAAAGCAGACCCAATAAAAGAACACGATGGCCAGTGACAGAGATAGAAGGGAAGGAGAAGGCAGGGTGCTCCAGTGAGCACCACCACACTCCGTGTTGAGGTTGGATATGTGATGAGTGAAGGCACCAGAGCGGAGGACCAGAAGCCCCGGGGACAGAAGATGAGCTGGTAAGAGCTGGAGAGAGCGTGGTCCCACGCCAGTGTAACCATGATCCCTGATCCTTGCTCACCTGAAGAGCCCTCAGGCAAGATGGAAGGTCTGCGCAGGCCTTGCCGATTCCAGCCCTTGTGCTTGCTGGACCCCTCGCCAGGGTCTGCAGCCGGCCCCCTGCCGCCCTCCAGTGGTCTCCCTGGGTCTCGCCTATGGGGCCAGCTGGATGCCTTCTCCAGATGCGGATGGCTGAGTTTGTCTGGCTGCCTGGCTTGGCCTAGGTCCAACCGCCTCAGGCCATTGGCTCCTTCCTGAGGGGCTGTTCTTCTCAAAGATCCTCTGGTAAGGGCCTCAGACTCTTCTGAGGGCCCTGGTTCAGAGGCAGGCCCCTGGAGCTCCAGACTCCAGGGTGTGGTTGGGGAAGAGGGATTCAGAAGGGTCGCCATGTTGCTGAAAGCCATGCCAGGGGATGCTTCGCTCTTATTCCTGCCGGTGGAAGCCAAAGAGTCTCCTGATCGACCCGTGGCTGGGGGCCAGGAGGTACGTCCAACAGAATGGGGAGTGGAGACTGTCCACTCTTGACAAACAGGCCTTGGCTTGCCCTGACCCCCTGAATTCATGAGTCCTCCCTGAGTGCTCCTGCTCCTCCCCCTGGACTTTGGGGGTAATGGAGGTGGTTCAGTGGGGGGATCCATAATAGGGACAGGGGGTAGAGGCCTGTAGATCCTTGCGCTATTAGAAGAAACAGGATGGTGGGGCTGGGACAAATCAGGGGTTGGGGGTAATGGCTTGTTGTATCTCAGTTTGCGGGACAAGGTCTGAGTAGGGTGGGGTGTGTCTGGGGTAGAGGGCAGAGGTCGGTGCTGCCTCGCCACAAGGGGGTCAGGAACTGGGGGAAGTGGGCCTTTGGGGGGGCCATGTAGCCCCAAACCTGGGGCCAATGGAAGAGGATGGGCACACCGCTTCAGCGTGGGAACCCCTGCATGGAGATGGCTGTCTCTCTCCACCGTGGAGGGATGGACGTGCCTCTTCTCTGGGGGCGAAGGGGGCAGAGGTTCATGGATCCTCATATCTACAGAGACAAGGGGTGGGGAAGAGCCGTAGGCAGGAGACCCTGGGGAAAAGGCTGAAGTGTGTGGGGAGCCCCATGGCTGGCTGCCGTGAGGACTGCTGGACATGTCTGGATTTGAAGTGAATTCTTGAGAGTCTTGCCCCAGAGTGGATAAGGAGCTAGGGGATTCTGGAATGATCCTGTGGTGGTCCCTACCACCTCCCCTGTCCCTTCTTGGGGCCACAGAACCATAGATGGGAGGTTTGGGGGGCCTCTGAGGCAACTCTGAATGGGAGAAGGAATATCTTCCCAGCAGGTCCGGAGTCGGCTCAGTCCTATGAGAGCCCGGGAAGGAGTTGCTCCTTAGGTGCTGGACAGCCCCTGGAGTGTAGCCGGGGGCGCTCTGCGGGCTGGCCCAGTTGGAGCTGGTGGAGAGTTCCACGGTGGCCTCTGCAGAGGGGAAGCCACGGAGGGCAGCAGAGGGCGTCTCCAAAGCCCCACCGTGAGATGCACTGTTGGTCCAAAGAGATGCTCTGGAGGTTTCTAGAGAATGTGCAGCAAGAGACGGCTCCCTCCGGGAGGAGGCAAGTGGGGAGCTGGGAGATGATGATGTAGTTGTGCCGGGGGAACCTTCAGCGGGACTGGAAGGAGCTGAACGCAGTGTCCTCGGAGGAGTCCCAGATGTGCTGGCAGAGGCCATCTGGGTCCCCACGCTGAGCACTGTCCCCTTCCCAGGCTCCGATCCCTCCTGCTGGCGATCCTGAGCCGCTCCTTGGTCAGGTGACTCCCCAGCAGGAGAAGAGCCTGGTAAAGAAACAGGCCGGCAGGACGCTGCGTCCGGTGTGGGAGCCAGAGCTACAGGGGACAGCTCCTCAGCCCTAGGGCCCCTCTGAGTCCCAGGAATACTGGTCATGGGGTAACAGGCGGCTAGAAACAAGTCACCGCGAGAAGAGACCTCGGGGGCCACCAGAGCCAGTGCGGAAGGACCATCATGTGCTCTCCCCTCTCCACTACTCTCTTCTCCGCCCTCTGCCCACAGCGGGTCCCCATCCCAACTCCCCGGCTCCTCCTCACTTGACCCCGCCTCCTCCACCTGCCCCTCCCCCGGCATCACTTGCCCCTGGAGACCTTGACCTTCTTGCCTTCCGGTTACTTTCCCTGATCTCCCCACCAGGCTTTGGTTCTGCTCATACGGAGCATGCCCGCTCCCCTCTTCGGGCCCCCCCACCGCCCCCCTCCCCTCCTCTCCCTGCTGTAGGCCTTGCTGACCCGGAGGCTTCCTCTCCTCCTCACCACAGTGCAGACCTGCGAATTCCCCACAAAGCTCCTTTCTTTCTCTTTGTTTTGCGAGCCTCACATCACCTTGGATGTGGCCCTGTGTTTGCCCATGTTCTCCCTCTGTACCACTCGCCTGCTCGCCCAGTTGTCCCTGCTCCCCGAAATGCCCAGCCTGCCCGCCAGTCCCTCCCTCCCGGGGGCCCACATCCACTAGCGCTGGTCCCTGCTCCTCCAGCCCCTCGAGTCCCCCTCCCCCTTGACCTTCTGGCGCCCCCATAGACGCCCCCATAGACGGCAGCTCTTCCCCCTGCCTGCCGGAGCCCCGCGCCTGGCCGGTCTCCGCACGATGCCCTTCACAGGCAGCGCCAAATCTGGGCTGAGCGGAGGTTTCCGAATCTGGAAAAGCTTCCTCCTCCTCTGCACGTTCGGTTCCCCAAATCAAAGAGGTGAGCTCCTGTCTACATTCCATCCCCACTCGGCCGCCCAGCTCGCCGGACATCGGGACCATGTCTAGCTGTCCATCCTGCGCAGGGCGGGCCCCGAGCTGTGGGGGAGCCCGGGTCCTCGGCCGGCCGCCCTCCAGGCTCTCCGGCGCTGCCTCCTGATGCTCCGGAGCGTCCCGGGGCTCCCCGGCGGCCTCCTGGTTGGTCTCCACACCCACAGAGGCTTCCTTGGGGAAAGAGGTCATGCTCTCAGCAGCACCGCTGCTCGCATCCCCGAGGGCTCTCTGCTGGGTCTGTGAGAGTCCGTGTCGCTCTGCCCCCGGACGGGATGGCGCCTAGCCTTCGCGACCTTCGGGCCCCCAGGCAGCAGGCGGACTGCTTCCCCTGAGAGCTTCAGGGGTAACGCTGAGCTCTGCTATGGCAGGGACGGGGGTCGAGGCCCTGAGTGGGGGCTCCTCAGCCTGCATCAGGGCGAAGCCCTAGAGAGGAATAAACCACAAAATGTCTATCACCCTTTCTGCTTCTACCTATCAAAAGAACAGAGCATAAAGAACAAGAGTGCACTTTTCTGGGGTTCCGCTTCGAGTCATTCTTTGAGGCAAAAGATACTCAACAAATTAAGCAAAGGCCTCTATAAAACGTATACAGGCTTATTTATTTATTCATCTAATAAATATTTACCAATATTTAAGTGCGGGACATTCAGTGAACAAGACAGAGAAGGACTGTGTCCTCCTGGAGGAGACAGATTATAAGTGATTAAATTAGAGCGTGAGACCGTTGTCAAAGGGCACCAAGTACTCCCAGTGGTCATTACTCTCTATATTGCATTAGGTCACACTGTCTCTCCCTGTCTATTCTCTGGATACCAAGCATGACTCAGTCCCCTATAACTCCCAGACACGGTGAGTGACACGCCCTAAGCCAAACAGCCCAGAGAAGCCGAGTCTGAAGGCGGAATCTTCCTCCAGAGCTGCTGATTGGATTAAAATAGGTCTGGCAATCATAGCCAGCGAGTCCAAGGTACTCGAGTGTAGTGGGCTCTCCCTAGGCACAGTCTGGATTTTACTCATCTTGTTTTCTTCTGGAGTGGCTGGCAGAGCCTTATACCTCATTAACAATGTCGTATTCAATTACAGAAGCAGCTGTTGTAAAGCGGAATGATAACTAGACTTAGTAGATTAGTAGATTAGAACCGGAGCTGACACAGGGGCCGCCCCCTCCAGCCAGGTCCATGACACCGGGGTACCCGCCACCATCTTCCTCCCGGCTGCTCCCGACAACCTTATAACCTCCTCCCATCACTTCTCAGAAGACTGCCCTTCCCACCTGTCATCTCACCCCCAAAAGAATACAACATCCCCTACCTCGCAAAGAATTTAGAAACCGATGGAGAGAGGAGCTGCTTCAGGTCCTTGTGATTCAGAGCGCTCGGCATATGGCTCCTTCCATTCTTCCTGCTTCTTGCTCTGAAAGCACAAGAGGCATCCCTGGACTTAGGCGCCACGTTCTTCAGCCTGGCTTCTGATGCCATGGATTTTCCCTTCTTCTCACACCTCCGTCTCGGTCAGAGCCATCCCACGACTGAAGCATGGCCCTGGCTTTCTCATCTAACTGTAAAAGGAATTGTTCATACGTGTGGCCCTCACCTCCTCACGCCTCACCGCCTCCATCCATGCCTCACTGGTACCACTCTAGCCACCGCCCCACAACCGTCAATGTCGTGGCTCTCGTCGGTACTGGACACATCTGACATGAGAAAGTATTCTTCCTTGTCATTCGTGAGACTACATTCTCCTGATTTAACCTCGGAAGATTTCCCAGTCCTCTGACCAGGTCACTGTACTCCTTTCTGCACCGCTCACCAGCGACTGTTCACATCCCTTCCCCTCGGGAGCATTTGTACAGTTACAATTCGGTGTGTGTCTCGATTTATCATCTATCCCAAACAACAGGGGGTAGGCGTCACGAGATCAAGAGCTACATCTGTCTTGCTCGACTGTCTCCACTTAGCACAATACCCGGCCCACTCAGGAAATGGTTTTCAATTACAGAACAAAATTCTCGTTTCCCTCCTGGCCCCACCTGCACCATATCACACCTGTTGCCAAGTCCTGTGGACCCCACCTCCTACACATCCCTCAAGTCTGTGCACATCTCTCCATCTGCACTACTGGCCCCTGTCACCCAGGCCACTGCACCGGGGGCACAGCCTGGCCACTGAGTTTTCATGCCCTGTTTCCAAGGCCTTCTTCACTCTGCATGGGAGTGATCCTAAAAAGCCCCACTTTAAATTCTCCAGTGGCCAATGCAATGAACCCCAGACACTCAGCCTGGATTATACGCCCTCCCTGCCTGGCCTCTGCCTCCCCTACAGCACCCTCATCCACTGCCAGCACTCTCCTAGCCCCCTACACCTGTGCTGTGGGCCTCCCCATGTGCCCAGCACCCTCTTCTGTCCCAGCGGGCCCCTTCCTTCTCTCACACTCACTGCACTTGTAATTACCTAGTTCAAGTCTATTTTCCAGGCTAGCACACGAACCTCAGCAGGGCACAAACACTGCCATGCTCGCGACAAACATTTATTGCATAGATGAAGAAAGCAAGAAAACAGAGTGAAAAGAACGTTGCTCAATTTTTAGTTCTGTCTCTTACGTATCTTGCTAGTTCTGCTCGTCGTAATTTCAGACCGTTGTAGGAATCGTGCAATTTACTGGAATGCCCATTTTCTTATCTTTAGAAATGGCTTAAATTCGTTCCTTGCAAGGAGTTCTAATGAAGATCAAATAACATTAAAAAGTACAGTATCCGCTTTAAGGGTCACAGAAGTGTTAGGGATTGTATTTACTGCTGAGGAGAGAGAGAGAAGAAAAGAAACGTGGGATTCAGGAGCTGGAAGGATTTTTACAGACACACAAGAGACGCGTGCAGACGAGGAAAGTGAAGGTCATAACCTAGACACTTGTTCAGGCTTCTTAAGCAAATGGTACAGGTGAACTCAAACCAAAGTCTCCCGACGCCAAGTCTGCGAGAAGCAACCCCAAGTCCAGCTGGAAAAGCCAGCAGGTAGGCCTACAGAAGATCCCAGGGGCCTAGGGCACCCCCAGCTGCCCCCGGACCCGCACATTCACTGCCTTCTCTAGGCTTAAAGTGGGAGCCCACCACCCAAACTGCCTGCTGTCCCGCTGAGATACTGCACGTGCATACACACGCTTGCACGGACACCCCTCCACATGCGCACACAGTTCCGTAAGCCGTCCTTGCAGATGCAATAGAGCCCGTGTCTATGCAATAGAGCCTGATATTACCAAACAGCCAGGCTCCCAGCCACCCCGCAGATGTAGTATGCGACAGGCTCCTGGCCACCCCAGAAGCACAAATAGCATCTATCTGGGGCACAGAGCCATGTCTCACACCAGCATACTTGTGTAGAACTTTTATGTCCTTTTCCAGTTAACTGACATGGTGCGTGATTTGCTCCCTATTTCTAGACCTAAGTACAAAATACTATAATCACTATGGATGATACTGTGACGTGACCCAATGCTCGCAACCACACACTAAATACTAGAGGTGCTCGCGGTAAACACTTTGTGAAACTTGGCCCCTACCTGCCTAAGGGGACTGTGTGAGCAAGCCTGAAGTCTCTCTCCCCCACCTCTGTACTGTCCTGGCCCCAACCCCATACACACTCTCTGGTCTTGAAAACGGGCAGCCTCTACATACATGTGTGTCTTCCTGCTCTGGTCAGACCCTGTGCTGCACAGACCTCTTCCGTTCAAGTGACACGATGCATGTCTGTCTCCTACAAATGTCTGTCTCCTACAAGCCCACTGACACTATGCCTAACACTCCCTCTATCCACTTGGAAATACTGGTGGTCGCCCGATCAGCCACCGTTTATCACAGAGGAAAAACATACCCTGTGTCCCCTATCCCAGACACTGTCCTACTGCAACCAGGTGCGACAAAGTACAATGTAAGAAAGCTAAGGGAAATCGACAAACCATGGTTCCGCTGGCATAAAGGCATCAGGAGAGAGGCTTTTTGGATTGCCCATTAGGTTAGTTTCCTCCTCATCTCCCTGGGGGCGGGGGGACTAATCACTACTTATCTGAGCACCAGTAAGCTGTGGGATCATCGCATCATGGCTAACTGGTATTCCTCTAGACCTGAGACATTTTGCATCTGCTGACCCCCCTCCACACGCAACTTCTTTCAAGACAAAGCCCTGTGTCACTCCATTAATACAGTGACAGAGCTCAGTGTCTCCTTTGGAGCCCCTCAACACCTTAGGTGTTGTCCATTTCTAATCGCCGGACAGAAATGTATTTCAAAAACATTCCCTCCTCCCTACCATACTGCTTGGTCTTTGAACTGATGTTGAGTGCCATGTGTATTTTTCAGGACCGTGCTTCCTGGATTCTGTAGTGTCAGGTTCAAGAATACATGAATCTGACTTACACCACAAATCACCGCAATACTCTTGAGATTACAACACTACTGAATTTACACGATATTGTCTATACTCCGGCTCACCTTAGGAAAATATCTCGCAAATCAAAATGTTCTCATTTTGATTTAGAAAATAAGACCTCCATACAAATATATGTGTTTATTCACTCTTTGACATTATTGCCTTCAATGGCACAGAGATATTAAAATAAGAGCAGCTTTCTGGACCACTAGCTGCTAACATTTGTTTTCTATCCATTTGAGGCAAGCCCCGCCATCCCGATGAAAACTGTAATAAACATCTCTTATCTGTTTCCTGATGTTTGAAAACACCACATCACTCACTGTCTTGTAGACCTCACGGGCTTACCCAGAACATCATTAGTGGCAAATGACATATGCCCCACAAATCCATGCGTGGCCCTTTGCCACCCACGTGGATAACATGAAAGTGAGCGCCCTCTGCGTGTCCCTAACATAGACCGTGAGGGTGACCTTGTTCTGATCCACCTTGCAGACACTATAAATGACCAGCTCCTGCTCACTCTACACACACAGTGACTCATCCCTGTCTACACCAGATGCTGCAAGTCACCTGTTTTGAGTCTACACCAACTGACACTTCAGCAACACTGCTCCTGTTCAACCCATGATCCTGTGAGTGACCCCCATTCTTGTCCGCACTGCATTGTGACCGACCATTCCACACACCACGAATGACACGTTCCCGTCTATCCTACAGACACCATGCTTAATGTGGCCACAGACAACCTCAGACAAACTATGTTACGGGAGGCCATACCCTCTGGGGTCCCCTGATATAAGAGGACTCCTACTATATTTCGAATTACTGTATTCTTTAAGAAGGGATTCCTCTGCATACCTCCTGACCCCCCCTCTCCTCCCCACCAGGATAATAACACGCAATCCTCCTGCAGAAGATTCTCTCTTAGAATTGATGCCCCCATCCTTCCTCCTCCCCAGCCCCCCAAAGCCCCCTCACCAGACATGTCTTCGGTTTCTGTTAACCCAGATTGGTTAACAAATGACCCCCACTTCACTAGGGCCTGGGCCAGGAGCTCTCTCATGCTCCAGGTATAGCTAAAATGGCAAGTCTAAGAAAGAGGCCACGTTCAGAGCTGTTTACCTGGAGGAGGCCAAGGAAGGAAGCCCGGGAGCAAAGGAGGGAAGAAACTGGAAAAGAAAGTCACCCTATCTCCCTGGTCTGTGTGACACACCCTTCCCCCTCAATCTGACAAGAGTCCTGGCCAGAGTTCACTTCTAGGTAGACGGGAAAGCAAATCTGTCTTGGGAATCCAAGATCCAGGAAGGGGAGAGGGCCTGAGATCTGAAAATCCCCCGGCATCAGGACTAGGTCCCCTAGGGCAGCCCTGCTGAAAGGCAACCCTAAATGATGCTCAGGAGGAGCACTGATCCAGCACGCCCACCCCAGCCCCCCATCTCACCTCCCCAACTTCAGAATGCAAAGTCACCATTAACAGAAGCTTTGGAAGTACTTGGAATATATGGGGAGACAGGGTGGGGGCAGGGCAGGAGTCATTTCTACAGGTTCAGGCGCTTCGTGGAACAGAGGAGAGGCGTGTACTTAGACGCACACAGTGTGCGAATCCCTAGGAAGGTAAATGAAGGAAGGCCCAGGCCTGGGTAAGAGAAAGAAGTCAACAAAGCACCTCTGGGTAGGGGAAAGGGCCACAAAGGGAACCTCAGTTTTTTCTTACTGTGGGGGTTAGGTTTCCCCAGGGCCGAGACTCTGAAGGGGGAGCCCCGATTACCGGCCCGGGGAACACCTGGGGTCCGGGTGCCCCCTTCCAAGGCTGAGAGCAGGCCGGAAGCAAATTTTTCAGGCAAGGGCATTTCCTCCAGCTTCCTTCTTCTTCTGACCAGAGTACTCAGTCACACACCCCGAACTCTGCCTATGTGCCCTGCCCCCCCATTTCCGGAGCCCGGCCCCGGCTGGGGCTGGCCCGTGGGGGGCTGGGGGGTGGGGGTGAAGGCCTAGACTCCCCCCACCCCACCCCCCGTCCTTCCCGGCCCTCCCTTACCTCCGCCGGGGCTCTGCGGCCGCCCGCCCCGGGGCCCCGAGCCGCGAGGGAGGAGGGCACCCACCTGGGCAGTGTCACATGCCGTCTCGGCCCGAGAGTCCCCTCCGGGTCCCAGGCGCCGGCCGGCCGTCCCCAGCGCAGGCCCGGCCGCCCCAGCCGCCCCACCCGCGGCCCGCCCCAGCCCGCCCGGACGGGGGGGAGGGATCTGGCTCTCCTAGGAAGTTTCAGGTGTGGAAACCGGGGACACACCTTCCTGGGGGAGGGGCAGGGCCCGGCCGCGCCGGAGCCTCATTGGTGTGAACGAGGCTCCCGCGTCAGAGCTGGGAAGTGGCGGGCGGGCCGGCGGGGGAGCCCGGGGCGCGGGGCGCAGGCGGCGGCGCGGAGAGCGCGGCGGGGCAGCGCGGGGCGCACGGAGTGGGGGCGCCTCTCGGGAGCCGCGTGTGTCCCCGGGTCTGCCCGGCTGCTGCTTCCCCCCCGCCCCCCCACCCCGTGTTTTCTTTGGGTCCCCTCCGAAGGCTGCCGCGGGACCCTGGCGACCTTCCGCTTCTCTGCGGCTGTTTATCTTTCGGCCGATCTGTGCCTGCGAACGCCCGCGTTTCCCTGCGCGTGTGTGCGCTTGACTTCGGGCCTCAGCGTCAGTTTCTCTTCCTGCGTGTCCACCTGTCTCCATCTCTCGGGGCCTAGAAACACGCACCTCCGCACAGCCAGGCCATGCCCTTCCTCCCTGTATGATGTGTTTGCTTCTGTGGTTGAAAAGGTCCTTTTAGTTTGACGCTGTGCCTTACCTTACGCGTTGCTTCTGTTCTCTTCCCCGGACGTGGGGGTGTCCACGTGTCGGGTCCCGAGCCTGTGTGTTTTCTCACGCCTGTAATATTAATTTTTTCCCTCTGATTCTTCTGGGAAACATTAGTTCTGTTGGTCTCGGAGGCCACTTTTTTGGGGGGGAGGGGGTGTCTATCTTTCTGCCTCTCCATAGACTTGAAAGAATGCCACCATGTTCTAAGGGGCTGCCACACACACACAGTAAGAATCCCTCACCTAGAGGGACACAGATTCTTGGGTTTTTTGTTTGTTTGATTGATTGTTTAATCAAACCACCACGCCCTCCCCAGCCCCACTTATTTCTCCAGGGGTTTCCATGGGATATAGGCCAAGGAGAATCTTACTAGGCTCTCCGCCTGTTTTGTTCTTGGGAATGCCATGATCGATAAACCCAAATAGCTAAGTGGGTTAGACCATTTCCAGATTACCATGTGCATTGACTGCACCACTGAGCGTGGCTGACCACGCCTACCAGGTGTTGGAAGGAGACCAGGAGAGAATATCATTAAGGCAGAAGGGCGTCTTCTCCAGTAAAGTCCCGAAGCATCTCTGTGTTCAGAGTGAGCTGCTTCAGTCATTATTACTCTGAAGGGTTAAGCCGTAAAGAGTTCAGCAGCCTCCAGCCTACTCTCAGCTGCGTGTAAGGTGTGGTAAGCAATGAGGAAATCAGAATTAGGAATTCAGGTGCATAAGGGCAGGCCTAGCAAGTGTCATAAGCTCAGTGAGAGGTTAAGAATGGGAAGGGCATGGGACACCTGGGTGGCTCAGTGGTGGAAAGTCTTGACTCTTGATTTCCTCTCAAGTCATGATCCCAGGGTCGTAGGATCGAGCCCCGCATCGGGCTCCACGCTGAGCATGGAGCCTGCTTGGGATTCTGTCTCTCCTTCCCTCTGCCCCCCCCCCCACTTGTTCTCTCTCTCTCTCTCTCTCTCTCTCTCCCTCAAAATAAATAAATAAACTTAATCATAATAATAATTAAAAGAATGGGAAGTGCAGTAAATCACAAACTTTAAACTAGAACTGTCTCTATTTCTAAGCTGGGAAGGAAAAATACAGTCCAGGGTGCAAGGAGGCCTATGATTTCTAGAGGGGAGCAAAGTTAGTAAACTTCTGATCCTTGGGCCGAACTTGCTGATCCCTGCTAATCCCAGCTGCCTACAGGAGTGGGCAATTTAGTCAGAGATGCTGGGGCTGCCTGGGAAACCAGCCTGGCTATTCTTTCTGTCACCTCCGTCTTGACTTGGTTCTCCCCAGTGACAGACGGTTCTCTGTGCCTTAGTTTCCTCCAAACGTCATGTCTCACAGACATAGTTTCCTCTTGTTTTGCCAGCTATGACCTATCAGGACTTTTTTCTTTAAGTCACCGCCCTTGATCGATGACCTCTGGGTTCTTGTCCAGAGAGTGAAGCCTATGAGGCTGGACCTGACTTTTCAGTGAGGGGTGAGATGTAGGCAAGTTAAAACTTATCCCGTAGGGGGTTGGCTCCTTCCAGGGAGCATCCTGTCTGCAGGGGGTACACACTGGGGACCAGTGTAGCCCTCCTGGCTCTTCTCTCTTCTTCCCTTCACTCTGAAGACCATGGTTCTCATTTTATTAGTATTGTTTTGTTTCTTTTCCTTTCTTTTTTCTTTCCTTCTTTCTTTCTTTATTCTTCCTTCCTTCCTTCCTTCCTTCCTTCCTTCCTTCCTTCCTTCCTTCCTTCCTTCCTTTCTTTTTCTGAGGGAGAGAGCACAAGCAGGGGAGGGGGTCAGAGAAAGAGAGAGAGAGAGAGAGAGTGAGAGAGAGAGAATCTTAAGCAGGCTCCACAGTCAGCATGGAGACCAACATGGGTCTTGATCCCACAACCCTGAAATCATGACCTGAGCCAAAATCCAGAGTCAGATTCAGTTGTTCAATTGACTGCACCACCCATGTGCCCCTTATTTTATTCTTCTTTTTCATTTCTTTTTTTTTTTTTCAATCTTTATTTCTTTTTTTTGGGGGGGGGAGGAGTAGAGAGAGGGGGAGACACGATCCGAAGCAGGGTCCAGGTTCTGAGCTGTCAGCAGAGAGCCTGGCGCAGGGCTCATACCCACAAATTATGAGATCATAACCTAAGCCGAAGTCTGGAGCTTAACTGACTGAGCCACCCAGGCACCCCCATCTTTTCCATTTCTTGATGCATGCTTGTGGCGCCTGGGCTTCCTAATCAGGACTTTCTTCCTGTCCTAAGATTGTGATGTTTCATTAGGGCTTATACTTTTTCTGTAAAGTCCTAAAGAGGAGAGAGAATGATACAATGGAAAGTGATGGGATTTAGATGCAGCAGATAGGGGTGTATTTGAATCCTACCTTCACCACTTACTTAATGAAGAATTTGGCATAGTAACCTTCCTGTGCTTCATCTTAACCTTTCTGTGCTTCATTTCCCTCATGTCTTAAATGAGGATAATACTATTTAATAATACCTGCCTCCCTGCTTCAGTGTCATATAGAGGTCACCTTACTACAAGTGTAGAAGGTGACTGATAGGAGTTAGTTTCCTTTCCTAACAGAGCCTGATAGTTATTCAAGTTGAATGACTGTATTGACAATAACAAGGTGATACGGGTTGGGAAAGGTAAGCAGATTCAACATAAAGTTATTTTACAATGAAAGCTGTATTAGATGGAGGGGAAAAAAGTATAGGTTCTGGAATTTGGGGACATTTAATTGGAGACAGTACCTTTGAGATACAGCCATGGAGGGGAAAGAACAGAGAACTGTCCTGTGTAGTTAGGGGCATCAAAGGAATGATAATGGCTGTTTTTAATAGCAGGAACTCATCAGGGGCGTCTGGCTGGCTCAGTCAGTTAAGTATCTGACTTCAGCTCAGGTCATGATCTTGCAGGTTCGTGAGTTCAAGCCCTGCATCAGGCTCTGTGCTGACAACTTGGAGCCTGGAGCCTGCTTTGGATTCTGTATCTCCCTTGCTCTCTGCCCCTCCCCCACTTTCACTCTGTCTCCCTCTAGAATAAACATTTAAAAAGTAAGAAAAAAAATAATAAAAGCAGAAACTCATCAGGATATCCCTGGGGCCATTATCCCTGACGTTGGCTACACTGTTTCTCACTTGGTTAACTCTGACTCTCAGCAGATGCTGTGCTAGTTCTTTAAATTCTGCTCTGGCTTTTCCGACTCTGCTTTTTGCCTGATCCCATGACCCACCTTTGAACTTTTTTGAAGCAATTTTTGAACTCAGTTCTTTTCTTAACTGGCCTGACCCTGGTCTCTCCTTCCTTCTCCTTTAAATCCACCCTGACTTGGCTGCTCTTGTTCTTAGCTATCCTGTTCCATTCTGAGCCCATCCTTGGTCTTCTCTTCTCTTCTCTTCTCTTCTCTTCTCTTCTCTTCTCTTCTCTTCTCTTCTCTTCTCTTCTCTTCTCTTCTCTTCTCCTTCTTTTCTCTTCTCTCCTCTCCTCTCCTTTCCTTTCCTTCCTCTTCTTTTCTTCTTTCTATCTTTATTTCTTTTTTAGTTAGAGACACAGCATGCACATGAGCAGGGGAGAGGGGCAGAGAGGGAGAGAGGAGGAGAGAGAGAGAGAGAGAAAGAGAGAGAGAGAATCTTAAACAGGCTCCACGCTTGGTTTAGAGTCCGACACAGGGCTGGATCCCATGACCCTGGGACCGTGACCTGAGCTGAAATCAAGAGTCAGACCTCAACCAACTGAGCCACCGAGGCACACCCCCCCACACCTTTATTTTTCTCTCCACTTTTGTACATTAGAACTAGCCTACACTTCCAATTTGACAATAAGCTATTTGTAGAAAAAAAAAGGAAACCAATTTGACAATAAACTATTTGTAGAAAACAATAAAATAAAAAAAAAAAAAGAACTAGCCTACACTTAGCATTATTCAAGGTATAAATACTAATTACTCCATTCACTTTAAAAAGTTCATTTACTCAATATGCATGTTTTGGAAACCAGATATACAAAGACCGAGTATCTGCCCCAAAGAGCTCTCAGTCTAATCAAGGAGAGAAACAAGGAGCAAATGATGATAGGTGCTAAGATATACACAAAGTGCAATGGTGAGCATAAAGGCCAGGGCACTGCTGGGGGAATGAGAGAAACCTTAATGCATAAGGTGCTATTGGAATCGATTTGTCCTAAAAAAGTACTCTGCGCCTGATAGAGAGGGGAATAGAGGAAAGGCATGCCCGGGGAGGAACTGGGATGTGCAAACATAAAAGCCTGAGCACATTCTATTCCGGGAAAGGGCAGGTAGTGTGGACCTCACATGAGGTCTGGTGAAGAAATGGCAGAGAGCGGCGCCTGGGTGGCTCA